TGTATAGAGAACAGCTACTACATTGCGTCCAAGGCAATGAGCTAGTTTTGTAGAAAGCTTGCAACATAGAATAAGTAAAGCTATTAAAGCAAATGAAAAACAGTACTGTAACCATGCTTTCCAGTATCCATCCAATCCATTAAAGAAGCAAGTTTCAATTCCTAAATCGAGATTGAGCCAAGCAATGAACTGACTCAATACTGGTATACTACTGATACCATTGACTGATTCATTTAACTTCATTACATTAGCATAAAAGAGTAACCCATTGATACTACCCACTGATACTGTCATATTACTCACCAATAGAAAGGCTACAAAAACAATTCCAGCAACAATGAAAGGAAGAATTAATGAAATATACTTGTTGCTGCATTGACCACATTTATTAGAACCTAACATGAGACTGAGTCCTTGTTGACATGCCCCACAAAGTATTCCTGATCTATTATTAGCACATTGAATATCAGGATCATCAAGACTGAAGGAGATAGCGGATGAGGTGCAATAATCAAAAGGACAGTTAACATACCCAACGGTACAGTTGTACTGTGTATTATAGTACAACCAACTGTTGCTTGATTTGCTTATTGGAAAAGGCATCAGATCAATATTACAGTTGACAGTACTAACACTACTGATGACACTATTGCATTCACATAGTCCATCGCTTGATAGTTCCAGACCATAAGGACTTGATAGTTCCAGACCATGAGGACATGGTAGTAATGTTACATACACTATCAATGAAGAATTATTTATTGCTTGTCGTGCTGTCTGAGGTTTAAATTTGATTTTGCCAACACTTTCATAAATGCTGTTCTGTTTTGTTCTATAGCCAAACATATCACATGTTTTGTCTGTTTTCTGATTTATTGTAAACATTATTATTTCACTTTCAATCACTAGTACAGCAGGACTGACACCTCCACACACACCAATAGTTACTAAAGAAACAAGAATGAGCTGACCAGGATAAAGCTCTTGATAATAGTGTCTAATGCGACAGTTTGTTTCAAGACTATCACTATTTATATTGCATAGACATACTCCCAATGCATCAGAAGTCACATGAGATGAAATAGGCTTTGGAAAGCTTTCTAGTGTAGGATTGTCCGAACAAGCAATGATTGTATTAAAATCATTTTTCACACTAACAGCAACTTGGGGTTCATCCATTGTAGTACAGTTCCAATAAACTCCATTGTACACATCATCCCCAGCAAGCAGAGCACTGTTACCAGTAAAAATTGGAGTGAAATTTCTTCCAAATGAACATCTCAAATTTGTATTTATTACTTCCCTTGCAAAATATATTGCACCGCCATCAGTTCCTGCTGAATTATTAATGAAATATGCTCCAGTGTTCCCATCAATTGCAGAATATTGTGTTACAATTTTTAGGCCTCCACCACCAGTGGTTGAATGGTTGTTGATAATTGTGCTTGGATGATCACGGAATATAAGGTAAATGTTAAATAGTAACATCCCACCTCCTCTATTATTAGAAATGGTGACATTATTAAGAACTGTTGTACTATTGTACCCATGATTATACACAGCCCATTGTGTTCCATTTGTTATCACAACATTAGTAAGGTACAGTGACCCATATTCATACTGCACAGATAATCCAGCATTGCATGTGTCGATAGTGATGTCATTGAAATTCATTACACAATAGCGTCCACAATAGAGTTCTATTCCGCAATCAAAACTGTCAAAAACACTGACATTAGTCAATGTTATTTTTCCCTGATCTCCTGTAGAGAAAAAGTAGAGCTTACCACCGTATACTGTTGTATGGCTAACTAAAAGGAACAGTCTCATTGTATACAGTTCCACAACACCAGTAAACACTGATCTTGATATAGTTATATGCCAATCAGCATACCAAACATGATCCTTATCAAAACCAACTTGAATACCTTCAGTGGAGACATCAAATATTGTCAAATTTGAAATGGCATGAAATTTTAACTTGAGACAATCTATTTTCAGCCCTTTAATGAGTAGCTCTTTGATTGCAAATATATCAAAAGCTTTGGTAGTGTTGTTATTGCATGCAATGACTGGCTTTGAATGCATGCTTAATGCACTATCTTCACCTCTAATTATTGCTTTTGCCAAATGTGAAATACCTAAAGTAGCAGTCATATTGTACTCTCCTGATAGAAAGACAAGAGTAAGGTTGGAGGGCCAGTTAAATGCTAAGCTATGGGTGTAGTAAGAAAGAGGATGGCAGACAGCATTAGCAGTTGGACAATCACCAGTAGCTGTGACATAATATACACTCATCTCTTGTGACTGAGTGGTGACCAAAAATAAGGACACAATCCACTAGAAGAATTAAAATTAGGAAATAGCTATAGATTGTTAATAAAAACTTACTAATACTAGACCAAAATGAATCATCGTATCCAGCAAAAAAATAAAACTTTAACATTGATGTTTGTAGCTGATCGAAGCGTCTTTTATCAATGTGATAGATTACATAAAAAGTGTAATCTTATCATTCTTTCTCGTTGCATAAACAACTAACAAATTAAAACTCAAATTTTGTAAACTAGACTCTATTAAATAACAAGGAAATGGTAATTAAAGTTTCTACATAGAATAAAGACTTTAAGTATAACAGGAAGAATAAATAAAATAACTTTAAATGCAAGAACTGATATAGCCTAAAATTTTCAGATATTTCACTAATCAGATATAAACTACATTAAACTTAATGATCAGTAATAAAAAAGTATAACTATAAAAACTGATGTGTACTTTCACTTATTTTATTTATGTATCAGTAAAGTGAAACGAACATTGTGATAATGATAAAGTTGAATGTTTTTATACATTGTGAAAATAGCAGAGGTTACACAAATAAAAAGCATCAAAAGGATAAACTAATGAATTGATAGAAAGTATGTTTGTATAAACAGAAAGCTTTCTATGCTCAATGAATCCATTTATAATGCAAACGAGGAAATACAAAATAAGCAAACTACATTAACATTGTTACAATAATACTCAAAACTAGTGAAATATTAAACTTTCTCTTTTATTTATAACTGGAAGGTTGTCATCATCCCTAATGTAAGAACCATCTGAAGCATTGACTAAGAGTGGTTCTTCTCTTGTCTCATGGCATTGTATTGACCGGCAACGTTTCTTCATTTCAATGTATAAGTGAGCTACTACTGTGATCAGGAAAGCAGTAATTGATAGACTAACTGATAATCCAGTTATTACTGTTATAGAAGTTGTTCCAAAGCTTGATTTAAATTGAATTATTAATGCTAATGATAATGATGTCATACAGAGATTAACCATGTAGAATAATTCCAGTATATTTAGTAGCTTATTACGATGCACTTCCTTTACTAAAAGGGGTATTAGGAGACCAGAAATGAAAACTGTAATGTAGTTGTTGATTATTGGTATTGTTCCAATAGTGTATGAGAATACAGTAGTGAGTAGTAGACGCATTATCAGTAGGAGTCCTGTCCAGTATCTATACTTGTCCTTATATGGTCCAGTATATGCATCAAGGAATGGTTTGAACCTATAGAAAGGATCCCAGGAACTGCGACAGTATCTGCCACATGACCTCTGCATCCACTGACTGGA